AAATCGCAAAATCTCCGATTCTCACATGAAAAAATGATCTGCAGTGTTCACATCTTTTTGCAAAGCGCAATAATGATAATTGCCAGATTAAACAATAATTTGAAACATTGTAATATCGATATTAGACAAAAGTTTTAAGTTAATACTGATTGTGTTACCATTAATAACCAATTAAACTTAATGTACGTATTAAAAAACCAAGTTTACAACGATAACTTAACCGTTATATTGAATATAAGCAAACAATACTATTAAGAATGAAATTCCGGATGTTATTAAATTTGTAATAGTCAAAATGCTTATTTTGGATCCTGATGAGTAAGTTGTTGCTGAAACAAAAAAAAATAAAAATTATCAGTTATTATTATTAAAAAATTATTAGTTATTATTATTATTAAAAAATCATCAGTTATTATTATTAAAAATTTATCAGTTATTATAATACGACAGGGTGAAACCTGAGTCACCAGCTAGTAAAATTCGTTATGTAGGTCACATGAGGGTTGAAATCCGCTTTTGTAAACCAGCAAAACTCGGATTTCACCCTAACTCAAACACACCCTATATAGCGAATTTTACTAGCTGTTGACTCAGGTTTCACCCTGTTCTATTATAATTGTTATTATTTTAACAAATTTCGAACATGTACACGAACATGAACACGAACTTGAACACGAACATGAAAAACGAAGATGAATACAACAAATAATAAACATTATAAAATCCTTACGTGGCCCAGGTTGATACATCTTGAAAGGATATTGAGCGAGAAGAGTAGGTCTGTCGGTTGTAAAATAATCAGTTCCATTATAAATACTAAACATATACGGTCCTTCAATTAGAGTAGGATTAATGATTGTTGAAGTGTCCCATGTTGCAGTGGTAGCATTTGTCGACAAATTTGAATTGATTGTCCAATTTATATGTGCAATGTTATTATATATAGCCAGTGCTACTAAAGATTTGGTTAAAAAATCAAATTCTCCTGAATATTTCCAATTAAATGTAACATTGCGCCCAATTTTTCCATAAAATGGTGCTGAATTTGTAAAGATGAATGTTGGTTTTGAAGAGACATCTGGAATTGAAGTAGGTGCTGGGGCAGCTTGAGATGAATTTGATACTGGACTTGAGGTCGGATTTGATCCTGGATTTGAGGTTGGATTTGATACTGGAGTTGGATTTGATGCCGGATTTGTGGCGGCCGGTTGTGAAATCTGTGGTGGAGGTCCTTGTGGGTCTGTACAAAATATGTCGATATTAATAGAAGTACATATGTATATATTCATGTAAATTTCATTTTTATTTTTATTCGTTCTAACGCTAATACTTAAATTATTTAAAATAAGTCATGCAAAGTTAATTAATTGGTTCTCATAACCAGGCCGGGTCAAATTTTGAAAATTTTTGCAAAAAATTTTTTATATGTTTTAATAATCGGGTGAGCTTTTGAAAAAAAATTTTTAGAAAAAATTTTTTATAAATTGTTATATATAAAATAAAAAAAAACGACCGGCCGGGTTTATTTTAAAAGTTTCATGTTACGAAAACCAATAAATTAAATTTATGTGACCTAATTAAAACAATTAACGAATAATTTTCAAACTTCATTAACCTACTTCTTTTTCTAAGTATTTCATTAGCAACTACATTTTTATATAATGTTATTATGATCAAAAAAACTAAAAAAATTGTTGTCCAGTTGGTTGTTTTACGCATTATTATATACACCATTTACTTTGTCAAAATTATTCAAAAAGTCTAACGATGAATAATATTACAAGAAAATATTACAAGAAATGAAATGAAATAAGTTAATATCGTCGGCTTAAAATACGAGCCTAAAATATTATTTGAATGCACACGTGAGGTATAAATAACTAAATCTTTAAAAAGTAAGTGTATTTATTTAATCACAATAAAAAAGGATGTATATACTAATATATCGATATACATTTTAAATAGAGGTGATAAATTTGTACTTTTTATTAACACTAATGAACCCAATTTAACAAATGTCATTTATTTTTAGAACTGTCACGTAGGCAGTAAATCTTTAATAATAATAATAATAATAAAACATGATACAATTGCTTAAATGGCAATTCAATTAGGGGGAATTTCTATACATAGATATAAAATGTTTGATACAAAATGTTTGATACCTATAACTTTAAAAATTACTATATACCTACGTACGTACTAGTGATGCCGACAATACTCTTGACAAAACCTGATAAAAATATAAACTAGCTACGTAATAGGTTTA